AGGACCCAGATTGTTGGGGGCAATATGCTGATTCTGTAAACCATTTAGAGAGGGCTGTAAAGCACTGTGAAGCGGTATATAAGTCTAAGTGCTATTGTTATTACTATTGCTAATTATGGAGATATTTCAAAACTCCTATGCTTACTAATCCAAAAAAAGGAATTGCTTGGTCAAATTTGCAATAATTGCCTTTAAAATGATGCATTTAAATATACATTAATTAAGCAATGTAAAATTTGGCTTATTATAATATAAAGGTACCAACATTTGTTATGCTTAATGCCAGTCTTGATGACGTTTTGTTACAGATTGAGGAAGAAGGATCAAAGAAGCCTATTAAGTATGCCTTCTCCTGAACAGAGGTATTTTGACTGAATGTGAAACTTTGGGATTTGTATGGGTATACAATATTTTAATATTTATCATTTGGGATATCTATCTGAACTGTTAACATAGACAAATTACTCATACAAATTTCAACCAGTATTTTATCACTATGTCTCCACCATCTCAGTTGAATATTACAATCTTATGATTGTTGAACACATTTCTGGAAAATGGAGGTTACTGATTCCTTTCCCCATGTTCTATCACCTAATTCAGGATTGACCTCATTATGGAAATGTATGTTTCTCTAGTTTTTGATTTATGTACGCTGAATTTGAAGTATTATCATTTAAAGAACTATCTTGCTTTTTAGCAAGCTACTTTGCTCATAAGGTATATGGACAGATGATCTAATCCAACAAATAGCCACAAGTATTACCTGTCACAGTGCAAATATTTAAGCAAATTTTCCCCATTTTGGATATCTCTATGAAATAATTACCAATAATGTCCAACAGTCGGTATTATAGATTACTTTGTTTCATGTTTCTTCCACTCTTGTAACATTAAATATATCCATTCTTATCTAGTCCCAAGAATAAAAATAAAATAAAATAAAATCTTTTCATCACTATTTTTAAAAAGCTCTGCAGACTTCCTCATTGGAAAGAGAGAAACCAGAAAAGGAATTATCCAATATTTTAATAGCATATTGTTCTATATACTGTAAATGATGACCCCTATTTGGTGAAACATTGTAAAACTCAACATAGAATGAAACAAATTATAAACATCAACTTTTCTTTCCAGCCAGCTGATTTTTGTTGTTGTTATTTGTTTCTTATATTCTTACATTCCTCTAAAATATACAAAATGTAAATAGGATAACTGCTGCTAGGATATTTTAAACTCATACTGGAAACTTTTCAAAAGGCAACTGGACTTCTTTGTTTTTTCCTTGAAGATGTTTCACTTTTCATCCAAGAAGCTTCTGGTCCATTCTGACCAAATGGTGAAGAATGGAAGGATTTATATTTCTTGCAGTCATCTAGTCTTTAGCCCTCTCTCTGAGAGTCATTGAGGCCACTTGGAGGTTTATCTGTGCCCTCAGGGTCATCTGAATAGTGCAAATGGGTGTTAAACCTTCTTGGAACTGCTCAAAGGACTGTGTTGTAACTACTTTCAGCAGTTCCAAGAAGGTTCCACACTCTTTTTCTCTATGTGTTCTAATAACAATTTTAAATGGGTACATATAAGTTTGGGAAGGCTGGAAACAGGCCCATTTCCGGCCTCCAGAGGGCCTCCGGAGCCTGGGGAGGCCATTTTCGCCCTCCTGGAGGCTTGAGAAAAGCCTCCAGAGCTCAGTAAGGGCAAAAATGCCCCCCCACACCATGGTGCAGGGCCAACTAGGCCACGCCCACCCAGCAACCAAGCAGAGAACCCCTTGCTAAAGTTTTTGAAGCCCACCCCTTCAAGCACTCAAGGTTTGTGAAGAGCTTTCTTCCTGCTCTCTCGTAGAGGCATCTGAACTATTGCAAAACTAAAATGGGATGAAGTTTTCTTTTGCCATCTATATTTGGAGGCAGCTTTAGAATGCTACCAGGAGGGGATGGCTAACATCAACTGTTCTTTAATTATAGCTTTGCTTGTTCACCTTCCCAAATCCTTCAGATCTTCCAAAAGGAAACAGGAGACATTTGAACTTGAGCTTTACTGAAATCTTCAAAGGCCTATTTAAAATAGCTTTTCTTTCTTTTCCTTTTTTTTTTTTTGAAAAAAAGCATACTTCTTTCTATTTAGAAAGGATTTTACTAGTGGGAAAAAGAAAAGAAAAGAAAGGCAGAGGAAACAAATGGGTGGAGTGGAAAGCATAAAATTGCTTCCTTCTTAAATCCAATCTAATTTTGTTTTGTTATGGCTATATTTCTTTGCAACCACACTACTTCTGAAATCAGACAATTCAGGTAGCAATGAGAACTGACGTTCACGTAAAGATCGGTAACATTTTAGTCTCAGTTTTCAAGTTCCTTCTGACAAAGTTGGTAGATCTAGTGAACGTTCATTGTTTAATCAACTTTCTTTAATGTCTGTCTTTGACTATATACTAGATCCAACAGATACCAATCTTTTGAGACAGCATTGGAGTTACATTCAAGCTGTGAATGCGGTTAAACATTGTGGCTGAAACTGAGGCAGGCGTTACTCTATACTGGAATCTAATTACAGCAGAAACATTGGAAGCTACAGTTTCCCAGGGAAGGAATGCTGAAAATGTTAATAATAGCACTAGCACTTAGATTTATATACCGCTTCATAGTGCTTTACAGCCTTCTGTAAGCAGTTTACAGTCAGAATATTGCCCCAACAATCTGGGTCTTTATTTTATTGATCTTGGAAGGAAGGAAGGAAGGATAAGTCAACCTTGAATGCTATCCAGGATCAAACTCCTGGCAGTGAGCAGTGAGTTAGCCTGCAATACTTCATTCTAACATGGGACACCACATCTTTATAATCATTTGCCATTTAGCTAGTAGTGTTATCTACCCAGTTTGGTCCAGTTCATATGAATAGATCAGTGGTGGGTTTCAAATTTTTTTACTACCGGTTCTGTGGGTGTGGCTTGGTGGGTGTGGCATGGCTTGGTGGGCATGGCTTAGTGGGCGTGGCAGGGGAAGGATACTATAAAATCCCCATTCCCACCCCACTCCAGGGGAAGGATACTGCAAAATCCCAATTTCCTTCCAATCAGTTGGGACTTGGGAGGCAGAGAATAGATGGGGGCGGGGCCAGTCATAATTTTTACTACCGGTTCTCCGAACTACTCAAAATTTCTGCTACCGGTTCTCAGAACTGGTCAGAACCTGCTGAAACCCACCTCTGGAATAGATGGTTAAATTATCACATGTTACAACTAAGCCAAAAATTCACATTTTCTTACTTGTCCAGGCACAGAAAACAACAACTCAGAACCCATTTGGCAGGGATCAGGCTTTGCCTGCGCAGGCAAAGCCACAATAATATTCTCTGGCCTTTCGAGAAAGGCAGCTTGTCCCAAACACAGTGGGAGAAAATATTAATTTATATTTCAGTATTAAAATATTTGTATTAATCAGACTTAAAAACTACCCATCTCACTTACAAAATCTCTGTCTTCCTACTGATTCCTTTTTAAAAGAACTTGATAGGGTTTTTTTTTAATTTTTAGTTTATATATAACTATATAGTTTAATAGGCCTTGAATTATATTATTAGCATCAACTCAGTTAAAAGCAGGACAATGATCAGCGAGTATGGACTGTAACTCAAATTTATCTCTGTCATTTTGAATTGAAAATTTATCAGTGTTGTTTTTGAACTGAATTGTGTTTTTCAATTGTGATATCCTGATAGTACTTCAGGTTGTATTGGATCAGACAATTCAGATGATCTATGATCTAAGAGCTATGTTTCCTAGATGCTTCTTTATGCCAAATACATGTGGCTTTGTCATCAGCACCAAGTTCCCAGGGCTAGGGAAAGAAATTTCAGTTCCTGAAGCAAAACAGCAATATTCCTTCTTCTCACATACATCTAGATCAGTGGTTCTCAACCTGTGGGTCGGGACCCCTTTGGGGGTCGAATGACCCTTTCACAGGGGTCGCCTAAGACCATCGGAAAACACATATTTTCAATGGTTTTAGGAATAATTTTATGGTTGGAGGTCACCACAACAGGAGGAACTGTATTAAAGGGTCGCGGCATTAGGAAGGTTGAGAACCACTAATCTAGATGTAGAGAAGACAACTAGATTGGCAACTGAATCTTAGTTGACTGTTGGCAAGAGAAAATGGTTTACCGCAGTGGAAAACAGCAATCTAGTTAGATTTAGAAGGTTCTATGTCAAAATCCTGCTTCTTGCCATTGCTTCATACTTTCCATACATTGGGGTAGGGGGTGGATTATATGAAATAATCAGTGTATTTTATGGTGTGAGTTGGGTTACATTTTTTTTCACTTTAGGGAAGGGCTCTTTTCTAAAATCCCCATCTAATGTGAGAAATCTTTTGCAGCAGTTCTATGGAGAATAGACGAGGCATCAATAATACCAGTAGATCCTTACGCTGTTAAGTATATTATCAGCATTAAACAAAATATTTGTCATTGATATTATTGAAAACTATTGTCACGTCTGCTTCTTAGTAATGCTACTTACATGCATTATTTTAGCCATTTTTATGTGAAGACAGCATGAACAACCTAACCAATGTTGATAATTCAGAGGATTTCAACATTATTTGTATGTGTTTAATATGTCAAATAAATTAATTTCCTGAGAAAATAATCATAACATAATAACTCGGTATCTGAAGTCCCAAAACATTTTAAATGATGCTATGGAGGAAAGAAAACTTTCATAAAAGGTACTACAGCAGATTCAATAATACAAAAATAAAATTCACAGAGACTAATGTTTCATTTGCTTTCATTCCATATACAATCCCATATTAAAAATATCACGTGTCACCAGTAGAATTTGAAAATTTATGAGGGGGCCACCTATGGAAAGGGCCATAGCAATTATTTTTATGAATACCTTCTCTCCTTCCATCAGAATAATTTCCACATATTTCCAGAAAGTTGTAGCAAAACTCACACCTACTTATCAGGAGAAAAAAAATCTGGATTCAATTCAATGTGTTTAATTATTTTGTTTACTTGTTCTACTGAAGCAATATGTTTTGAAAAAAATATTTTCTATACTTTCTTAAGTAAGGAAAATGTATGTACAAATTTTAGTCAAACAAAACATCCTTTTAAAAAACACCCAAGATCTTGGTAATTGTCTCTTGGTAATTGTCTCTTGTAATTTCAAAAACTTTCTCCGCTTAACATCTTATATTAGTATAAAGAGCAGTATATGGTATTTGATACCTTACTGTTCAGTAAAATGAAGAAAAGAAATGAAAACGAGTATACATAATAAAGCAGATCTTTCTCTAATTGTTTATAATTGGGAAAGAAAAGAACATGTAATATTTTCATCTAATATCCAAAGTTCCAACTTTAATGATTAATAAGATATGTGAAATTACTTTAAAAATACTTAGTTAGTAGACATTCCCAAATTAACTGGGCAACATACTTTAAAGTATTATTTTTAATAAATGAAAAATACAAAGAGTAAACATCTCACTAGAGTGTCTAGCCTGTTTTGATGGAGAAAGGAAAGGTTTTTTCCCCCTAAAATAACTGTCTTCTCACAGGTAGCTTTGCCTAAACATAATTAATTAAAAGCTTATTAGAACAAAGTGACAGGCCTGTTATGGACTAGGCTGAAATGCTCCCAGGGCATTAAAAAAATTAAGAAACTGACAAGGAATACTCAAACTCATTATTTCATCATGATAACGTACATGCAAGCATGCTTTAATTTATTATATATCCTTAGCAATTGGATACACATCTAAACCATCTATTAGCAAGTATATTTATTTGTGTGTGTGTGTGTGTGTGTGTGTGTGTGTGTGTGTGTGTGTTTACATGGAATCATTTGTTACTGAGTTCATATGGTTTAGCCAACAATATCCAAGGAAGGGTAACTTTTTTTTTTTTGTCTTCGGATCCATCATATTTTCCCCACTTGCAGAATGCTTCCTACTGTCCTCTCCTTCTTCTCTGGTTCTTATTTAGTGGCTTCAATAGGCTTTCTCTGTACTTAGCATTTGTATGGAATAGTTGGACCATATCATGGTCTTTGTTATCCAACACCCTAGGCAAAAAGAGAGATGATTTCTGGGTCCTACGGGTTTTGAAGCTCCTCCTGGGTCGTCCTTTCCCATTGATGGAGACATACCAGAGTCTCTCTGCACTAGCTTTGCGTTTGCTGCTAGTGCCATTGGGTACAGTCCGATATAAGCGGGATGCATAGGTGTTGTAGCCCAACTCATGGATCCTTTCCACAAACTCGCATTCTGCGTTGTAGGTTTCCTGAAAAGTAAGGACAGAAACCATCAGTAAAAAAAAAAAAAAACCAGCACGAACAACTGCAAGGTACAAAGCTCCGCATTTGTTCTTATGAACACAAGCGATTTCCATTTATTTATAAAGGAATTTTGATATCCAATCAGGGGTGGGCTGCTGGGGGTTCACAGGGGTTCAGGAGAACCTCTAGCTAAGATTCTGTGCAGTTTGGAGAACCCCCAAATCCCACTCCTGGCTGGCCCCGCCCACCCCACCCCTCCCAGGAGTCCCCATGCGACCCATTTTGGATGCAGGTAAGTGCAGGGTGCATGTGGAGGCTTGGGGACGGCAAAAAACAGGCCTACCGGAAGTTTGGGAAGGCTGGAAACGGGCCCATTTCCGGCCTCCAGAGGGCCTTCGGAGCCTGGGGAGGCCATTTTCACCCTCCTGGAGGCTCAAGGAAAGCCTCTGGAGCCCGGGGAGGGCAAAAATGCCCCCCCCACCGTGGTGCAGGAGGCTGACTAGGCCACACCCACCATGGCCACACCCACCCAGCAACCGGGTAGAGAACCCCTTGCTAAAAGAAGCCCACCCCTGTAGCCAATGACATCTCCTGTTCTTATATATATCAAACAAAGCAAAGAACACTAGTCTTTACCTTCTTGCCTTTCTCCATGTAATGATTACAGTGACTATGAGATGATAAAAGCAAAAAAGTTTATTACAGTCTATTCTTGATTAATCCCGTGATTGATCCTATTTTGCCTGCCAAACATAGAATGAAAAGTAGTGCCTGATGCTACCAGAGAATACCACTTTGACAGAATATATTTCTCTTCCTCCTGCAACCCGTATTTGACTTGTAAACCACCATAATTTACTAGGACCTCTGGTGGTTAACAGGCAAGTATACAGAGCATAATTTCCAGAATAATTAAATAAACACCTATAAAAACAATATCATAAGGAAAACCAAACGAGCACAGACAGAAGCTCAAATGGTAGCCACTAAGCCCACAAAATATCTTTGAAAATATGTCTTTCAACCTCTTCCAAAACAACCACCAAGAAACTACAGGTAGTCCTCAACTTACAATAGTTCACTTACTGACCATTTGAAGTTACAACTGCACTGAAAAAAGTGACTTATGGCCACACTTATGACTGTTGCAGTAGCCCCATGGTCATGTGATTGACATTTGGATGTTTGGGCAACTGACTCACATTTATGACGGTTGCAGTGTCCTGGGGTCATGTGATTTCCTTTCGCAATCTTCCAACAGGCAAAGTCAATGGGGAAAGCAGATTCACTTAACAACCGTGTTACTAATTTAACAACTGTAGTGATTCGCTTAACAAATGTGGCAAGAAAAGTCATAAAATGGAGCAAAACTCACTTAACAAATTACTTGCTGAACCACATAAATTTTGGGCTCAATTTTGGTCATACGTTGAGGACTACCTGTAGTCTAATCTCAGCTGGGAGGCTGTTCTAGCAAATAGGCTCTGCCAAAGAAAAGGACAACCCTTCATGCTTCAACTCTCCAACACCTAACTTACTTCATAGAATTGGGGGCCCACCAATAGTTCTCCCAGGATAACTGAATGAACTTCGCTGTTACAATTGGAGAATGTAGCCCAGGGGTGAAATGCTCCCGGTTCGGACCAGATCACTCGATCCGGTAGTGATGGTGGTGGGTGGTTCGGAGAACCAGTAGCAAACATTCCTGCCCCCCCATGGCCAGCTGACCCGCGCAATCATCAGAGGCTTTTTTTTTTAAGCATTTTTTTCTACCACCTCTTCAGCCAAAAAAATGGTTTTAAAAGTAAAAAAAAAAAAGCCTCTTGTGATCCCACGGCTCAAACTCGCGCCTGTGGGCCAGATACGTTATGCGCTGGCCACACCCACACCCGGTTTAGCAAAGGGGGAAAAAGTCCCAATACATCACATGATGCCACCATGATGACGCGAGTTTGACACCTCTAGAATAGAACATTTACAAAATAGTGCCTCCAGTATTGAATACTTGCAGGAAGTCCAGAAGGGTAAAATGGTCAGTGGTTCTGAAGGCTGCTGAGAGGGCTGATAAGAACAGAGTCTCATCCATCTCTCACCAATTGCCATCCCTTAGAGCAACTAATACTCTCTTTGTCTCACACCTATATCTGAACCATGATTGAAAGGGGTCCAGATCATCCTTTTCTCCCAGGGCAATCTATAACTGTGATAGACATGGCCCACAACAATATTTGCAGAAATTAATTACATATTCTATTTCTAAATTTTGTTGAAATAGGTGGTTTTATTGGTAAGGAAAATTGGTGGGCTTTTTGCCAATTTCCTAAATAAGGTATTAAAAAAAAAAGTGATTGGGTAATCGCTAGTTACATGTGGTGATGATATTTTTTCCTATACTATTAATAGCTTAGTTCACTTTTCTTTAAACTGATAACTTGGAGATACGTTGGAAATTCCATGCGTTCTAATTGCCAGCCTTCATTTCAGAAATGAAGCAATGGATTTCATTACTTAGCCAAAGTAAAAGTTCTAATACTGAATATTGTTAAAAAAAAAACAAACCAAACAAACTACTGGATATTGTAAACAAACGAACACATTTTTTTAACCTTACTTCCATTCTCTGAAAACCAAGAACAGTAGCAGTATAGAGTTAAATAGTTAAAATCTAGACGCGAGCTATCTATGAAACTCTCTTTGTGCCAATTTTTCATAGATACATTTCTTCATTTCGTTTCCAGTCCCCACATATTTCATTCCTGAATTTTGCAGTTCTAAATTCTCTGCATTTCTAAATAGAATTGCTACTATTCTGGAATGATGTGTTTTTTGTTTTTGTTTTTTTTAAGTTGTAGGGAATTCTCAATCAGCCCAGCAGATGGAGTAAATTTGCCTGTAAAATCAAGGCTGCAAATCTCATGCTTGAAATTGTACTGCATAAGCAGACCACTAACACAGATAAGTTTAGAAAAGCAGATAACATAATTTCCCATACAGTCATTTATTATTTATTTTACCATTTGTGATGTGATGTGATGTCAGGAAAAGGGATTCTATGAGGATTCTAAGCAAGAGTCTAATCTGATTTGAGCAATGTATTTCTACATTGACAATTTCAGACAAAATAAGAATGTGTTGATCAGAGGTGGGTTTCAACAGGTTCTGACCAGTTCTGGAGAACCGGTAGCAGAAATTTTGGGTAGTTCGGAGAACCGGTAGTAAAAATTCTGACTGGCCCCGCCGCCATCTATTCTCTGCCTCCCAAGTCCCAGCTGATTGAGAGGAAATGGGGATTTTGCAGTAACCTTCGCTTGGATTGGGGAGGGAATGGAGATTTTACAGTATCCTTCCCCTGGAGTGTGGTGGAAATGGAGATTTTACACTATCCTCCTGCCACGCCCACCAAGCCACACCCACAGAACCGGTAGTAAAATATTTTGAAACCCACCACTGGTGTTAATGTACCCCGTCACATTTATCCAACAGTTTCTTAATTGTGCTAAGTAGACCTCAAACTGATGCTCTAATCTCTCCAAAATATATTGTTTTAGGGCTTCCAATACATTGCCAAGACCTCTGTTAAAACAATGTTTGCAGTAATATAAGCAATTTTTTTAAAAAAATATTTTATTATGTATTAAATTTTTATGCCACCCATCTCCCTTATCAGGTGACTAATAAGCTTATTTGCTTGCTTGTTTGTTTATTTATTTTATTTATTAAATTTATATCCTAATTTTCCTTCAGGAATTCAGCTGTTGCCTCTTCCCGTTATGCCTGCAAGGTAGATTGGACTTGGAAGCAGCAAAGTCACAAAGTGAGATTTCATGCCTGGGGGCTGACTAGAACCTGGGACTTCTGGTGACTGTCCATCGTTTAATCTCTACAACAAATTAATTTCTACTGCCACAACTTATGCTGGACATATTTTGACCACTTGCTAAATGGAATAAGACTGATCTGGGATGGAGAGCTTCATGTGGTTCAGTTGTCATGGATCTCTTACTGATCTAGAGTTAGACATGGAGGCTTTCTTCACTTATACTTCCTGAGCAGGGGTGAAATCTACTTACATTCCCTACCAGTTCGGAAGTGCACGTGCCGGGTGTCACATGTGTGTCACATGCACGCGCGGACCCTCTGCGCATGCACAAACCCTTCTGCGCATGCTCAGAGGGTAAAAAACAGGTTACTTCCTGGTTAAAACCAGGAAGTAACGACAACCAGGCAGATGGGCAGAGCCTTGCACTGCCGTTGCTACCAGTTCTCGGAATCACCCACTGCCATCGCTACCAGTTCGGTCGAATCAGTCCGAACCGGTAGCGTTTCACCCCTGTTCCTGAGGCCTTTTCTCCTCCCTAGTTTTCTACTTCCTAGAACTAGAACTCCTTGTTTTCCTTTTTTCAAATTCTCCCTTCCCAACATTCATCAGCATGCATGACTCAGCCTTCAGTCTCTCCTTCGCTGGCCAACCCATATTAGAAGCTTCTTTCTTCCTTGCCTAATAAATTTGCAAATGCTGATAAGTGTGGAAAGAAGAAAGCATATAAACTTTGTGCCAAGTCAGTTTTGTGACTGCACTTTCAACTACCTTCCTGGAGCACACATTTTCTGTAATGTCCCAACTGTCCAGAATTGATCTATCTAAAAGGACACATTGATGAAAATTTATAGAAGGGCTTTATCCACTTCTTCCCCAAGACTAATGTTCTTTTCTTGTTAAGAATACTACCTCCCTACCTGTCATCTATGATTACAAGTTTTCAAACTTTGTAACCATTATGGATCACTATTCACCCCCACCCCACCCCATTTCTGAACCCTTGGAATGGCTGTGTAAGACATTAATTATTACCAAACTGGATTTGGGGAACTCAAAATGTGATTTGAATGAAATAATATTTAACTGCCTTGGATTCTTGTTATCAAAAGTAATGCTTTTTTATTTAGATACTGCCCTATTAGTCTTTGTACAATTTAGCAAACATTTTTTCATGGGTTTTTTTCC